CAAAAATAATTGCAAAAGTTTTTCTTTTTTTTTTTACATTTTAATCATACATACTAAAGCAATCATATATAAATATTATTGAAATAAATGTATAATTTAGATGGCCAGCAGCAATCGAAATGATTCGATCAGGAAAGATCAAATTGGATAAGTTGACATTAGCACATTATAAACTTGATGAAGCAGTGGAAGCATTTAAATATGCTCAAAAAGGTGAAGTTATCAAAGTATTTATTGATTGTGGTTCTTAGAGAAATCACTGATTATGATAATTGATGATAATAGATAATAAACAAATTGTACTACATGATTGTTTCGAATATATTGGATTAAATGAAGAAATATAAATTATTTTGCGTACATATAATGAAATTCGCACACGTAAAGATACACAAAATATTTTGTGCGTGTTGTGCATGTGTATATACGTACACGTACACGTTTTTCTACACATTTACAATGTATACGTAAGCACATGGAAAGGAAATTACTCTGATCAATCAGAAAATAATCATGAAATTATAATAAATGAAATAGGATTTGTTAATTCAATAAGGCCAATTTTTAAAATATATCATCGTTGTAAGCATTGCTTCTGATATTATTTGAATTAAAGTTATACTTATTGGAAGTAAAAATTTTGAAAAGCTTAAAAATTTATCAAATGATTTATTGTTTGCTGATTTTACTATTATTGGTTCAGCAATTTGTTTTTATATATGAGTGACTTTATTATTAAATGCATTTAGACGTGCGTTTAAAAAATTTTGAACTTTTCAAAAATTTTGAAAAAAAGATGTGTACAATTCAGACGTATGAATGCCTAATACATCAAATATATCAAATAATATCGTAAAAAATAGATGTTTTGCATAAAAATTTAAATTATTTGAGTAATAATTTGTTTAATTTAGGTCATTTAAAATGATTAACTTATGTATTTTACTGTTCATCGATTTTATTTATTGTTTTTATTCTTACATAGAAAGGTATAATAATAATTAGCTTGGAGCAATTATTAAAATTTGAATTTTTAAGAAATAAAAAATATTTTATTTATTGCTATAGACATATTTTTAGTTCATTCTATATATTACGGAAAAAAGGATAAAATCAAGTTGACAAGTTGGTAAAAGGTTTTTTAAATATTAGCATTTAAAGACATTTGAATTACCGAATCATATCGAATTTTTAAATTATTTTTCTTTTTGCAAAAAAATTGATAATTTTTATTAATGGTTGCACTAATTAATTTTTTATTAAAATGTTTAAAACTTAATTAAAAAAATATTTTAATGATTATTTGATGGTAAATATATTTAGTATGCTAATGAATGATTTCATTTTTTTCTTGTTTTCTTTTTCTTTGTTAAAAAACTTATGAATAAACTCAAAAAACTTATAAATAAACTCACTCTCACTGTGCTTTTTTACATATCTTTCTGCAATCTAAGAGAGATATTCTAGAAATTTCTTAAATTAAATTTTTTCACGGAAAACACTTAACTTAGTGTTTTGAATTAATTATTATTGTAGAAATGTAAGTAATTGTAATATGGCCACCTAGCAAATATAATTTGCTTCATTTTTTATCAAATGTAGCATAAATTCATTTTCTTCAACAAATAGCTCTTCAGCTAAATGTGGCAAATTTTGTTCGTAAAATTTAGATTTTAAATTTAAATTATTGTCATTTTCTTCTTTATAATATGCAAAATTAGAATATAATCACACCATCATTGTCTTCAGAAATTCTCAAAATTTGCTATTTATTCAACAATAAACAACAAGTCTTTTCTTAATTTTTAAAATCCTCTTATTATTGACTGCTTATTTTCACTTTTTCAATTTAATTTTTTTTTTCCTTTTTAAAAAGCAAAAACAAAATTTTGAACTTTTTCTTGTCAAAAAACTTATCAAAATTTTGCACAATTTTTTGTACTCAAATTTCAACTTTCTAACAAGTTTTTTAAACTCTCAAATTATTTATTTATAACAAACAAGTTTTTCAAAACTTTTATAGTGGAGAATTTCAAGTGACCTTTGCAGATATTACTTAATAACTTCATATTTTAAGAGTAGAAAAAAGATGAAGCATTCAGGTGTATTTCTAGTATTGGGATTCAATTAAAACATGAAGAAATAAAATTGTGATGGATATTTTAATTTGAGCTGAATTAATTGCTAATCATCAATGTTAATAAATTAAATCTATGATAATTTGGCTTATCAATTTGATTAAATTAATGATTAATAAAATTTCAGACAGAGCTTGATCGAGACAGAGAAAAATTAAAAAACAAAAAACTTTTACTGATAGATGCAACTATTTCTATTGTTTATCTGTTGATAACAGATAGCGTTCATATCATCAAATTATTTTTCACATCATTTACTTTGATAATTATAAAACTATCATAAAATGAAATCGAAATCACTTCGCCATTTCATAAAATGATAATATTAAAATGGTACCTTGGTACCTTGCTTACGGTACACATTTCATTAATAATATATAATTCTGATAATGGTGATGTGCAGTTGCATTTCAAGCATAAATTTATGATAACTGATTGAGTTTATGTACTTATCGAATTAGAGAATTATCAGTCAAATATACAAATGATGTAAAGATGTTATCTGCAATGCGAATTTTTGTACGTGGAAGATTTATAATGATGGTTAACTGACCTCTGATCGAAGTACCTGACCTCTAATCAAAATATTTAATCTTTAATTAAATACCTGCCATTTTAATCGAAATATTCTACCTCTGCAAGTATTATTAAAATATTGCATTTTGCCATCATAGCATTACAGTCTTGAAATCTAATACTGACAAATATTTTGTTATTTTAGGCATGAATTGATAATCACTGATATGATTTATTCACTACATTTGCATTAGTAATTAACTAGGTGACCCAGTCACTTAATAATCAATTGGATGATCTAATCACTAATAATCAATTGGATGATCTAATCACTAATAATCAATTGGATGATCTAATCAATTATCATGCAGTCACAAGACTCTATTATGGGGAAAAACTATACTGCACAATATGGGATTATGCAAACAAACTTTTTTTTGGTAATCATTGATATGATAAAAAAAAATTTTTTTTCAAACAATCAACTTTCACTTTTTATTGTTTAGTTGTTAGTGTTATATGCGAAAACAAAACAAAAAACAATCAGATATTTCATTTTCGATTATTGAAAGTATCAAAATTTACTTCATGAAACCAAATTTATCTTTTTTTTTTTTAACAGAAAAACTTGTAATAATAACGTTAGTAATTCTTCCCTATGACAAGAATATGTTAAAATTAATGACAAAATTCAGACTGGTAGCAGAAACAAATTTAATTTAAAATTTTCAAACTGATGCTATCTAAAATCACCCAGTAATCCATCATATTAGAAAATAAAATTAGTATTACTCCTTATATCCATTTTTTGAGGAAAACATGACAGTGTAACAAAATTGTTAAATATTTGAAATTTAATAAATCTGTTAAAAAGGATGTATGTACCTTTGTTGTGAATAATATTTTGATGAATAGAAACTGATAAGATTTCATTCTCTTTTATGAACAAAAAGTGCATTGATATATGATAAAACTTCCTACAAAACTCTTCTATGCCGTTTATAGTTCCAATGGAATGTAAATATTTAAGGTAAACTTTACTCAAAACTCGGTATTTAGTTTATAATTATAATTGCTAATTACAACATATGTTATCATAACAATTATATAAGTCTAATTGAATTTCTCTCTCTCTCTCTCTCTCTCTTTCTTCTCTGCAAATGCTAATGTAAAATCCCAGGATGCTAATCTTCATATACAATACAGAATGATCATATTTATCTGAAACTAGTTAGAAAACTTGAGACGACCAACTGAAGCTTAACTGAGATCATATTGAGTCAAAATGATTCATATGTTATGAGCAATTAAATATTTTTCGTTATTGAAGCCATAATGATCATAAATTATCTAAGTGTTTTCAAGTATGATAAGCGAATATCACAAAATTTCCTCCTTTTCTACATGAATTCTTTCATTTAATGCAGCAAAATCAAATTGGCATTCTACACGACATATCAACCAAATCAAATTGAATTTTCTTTTTTTGCAATATAATTTATGAATAGTAAAACTTTAGTTTCATCAGCTATTTTTATGATAGAAATCTATTAAGAAACGAAATCTAAGCGTATAATTGAAGAGTGTAAAAAATTATTGTTGAATATTGTTGATAATAGAAGGTAATCCATTTGAAAAGTTGGTATTAGCGAAAATTTTTTTAATGAAATCAATTTATTTGTAAACTTTTTAATGAATAAAAAAAATATGTCATGTCCATACTGCTTTAAAAAAAGAAGAAAAAATTACATGAAAATGTGCATAGAATACAAAAATGCAAAGTTATTTTGTTATTTGCTTATCTTTGGAATTGTAGGTAATAATAAAAATAAAGAAAAATGCAAGACGTAAATAATGCCAATTATCAACTTTTACAAGTTAAATAACAATATCTGCATATTTGAAATTTGTGGTAAAAGTATTTGTAATGAAAATTAATACGAATGTACCACATTGACCCTTTAAAAATGAAATGATATTAGATTACAAAATGGTATGAAAATTTTGATTGGTTAATTTCAAGAATAATATAATATATCTTCCGCTACATATTTTATTCCTTATAAATGGTGGAAGAAATGCAATAGGAAATGATTAGCTTGATTAAGAATTGAAATCAATAAAACGAAATGATTTAATCATAAGGCAACTAATATGGAATGTATTAGACAACAAAAAAAAAAAAAAAAACTTGGGAAGAAAATGGCAAAGAAAAAAAGATTTCTATGCTTTATATTAGCATGGAATATTTTTTAATAAACATAACGTACAATATGCAGATTTTTTTTTATTAAATGATAATACGCAAGTGAGAAAGCAGTTTTTAGTGATTAATCTTTCTCTAATTTATTTCTCTTCATCAGATGAATCGTCTTTTATAAATTTCTGAGCAGTTTTTACCGTACGAGCCAGTATAGGTCTTTGACGCTGTATACCTGGTGTAACAGGTGTAACAGGAATAAGCTTTGGTTCATTTCTGAATACCATCTCATTATCACTCGAAAATTGATCAATTCTGTTTTGATCTATATCCTCTTGCAGTAATGCTTTCATGTCACTTGGAACAGTCTTCGATTTCGCAAATCTCGGCTGAAACCCCACTTTTTAAGATCTGCTAACCAAAACATCAAACAGATATTACTCATAAATTATTTAAATACTGACTGCTCTGTTGAAATGTTAAAATGAACGCATGCGAAACGCCATCTCAGCTCTATCAAATATAAAGCTTTCTTCTTATGATGAATAGATGATGAAGGATCATTGCTTAATTTAACCATATCTCTTCTCAGAAGAGAATAGAAGTCGAGAATAGAAATCATTTGTTTTGTTACTTTCAAAACTGAACTTATAACAACTCAGACAACAAAAGCAGGTTTTACTGGAAACGTTCCTAATAGCGCCAAAGCCAAAAAGTACTTTAATATTTAAATGTTTTTTTTTTTTTAAAAAATTCACTTTCATCTGTGATCTCCAAATAATCATGCACTCTAAGTAAATCTGAGTTCACTGCGAAGATGCCAGAAATTAAAACCACACATTACTCATTATTCAAAGATGGATGCAGTGAAATGATTTAAGATATGTATCATGCTGTACACTGTGCATATTACACAGCTTATATAAATTATTAGCAAGACCTTATAGCACCTAAATGCTAAGGTAACTCTTCGCTTCCGATATATAAAACTGTCAAGCTAGCATGTCATTATACTCTTCAGGCAAATGTTGGATGGAAACTTCCAAGACAGAATCTCCACAGGGAATGCGCAGATGGTCAGGCATTACTGTAAACAACAATTTTAATACTTTGATGGACATAAGTGAGTGTGAGGCAATTATGTAGTAGAATTTGTAACCAAAAAAGGTCATGAAGTCTTGGAAAGTAGTAAAAGACTTTTACGAACTGTCTTTTAATCTTAGAACCAATGACTGCTTTAAATACTTAGATTCTACCAGCTTTATGAGTAGATTTAGGCTACGGAAGAAACAGCGGACTTCTCGAACACCTTCCGAAAAAATAACCTTAGCCGAGTTTTTGGGCTTCGAATCAGTACATACTTTTCTTTTGCTTTGTTTGTTTGCTTTGGGCTTACAACCATTTGCTTTGTTACTTTCTCGAAGTACAAGTTTCGAAATCTTTAAAATTTCACTTTCATCATCATCCTCATGCTCATCTACGGATTCGCTGTCACCATGCTGAAAATAACAACTCGTACAGCGGATGACATCGTCACCATTTGATAAATCCTTTATTTTGCCGTGAACTTTACGAATTTTCTATAAATAGTTCAAGCTCCCAGAAATAATGGCAATGTTAGACACCGACCCATTATTTTACAATATGCAAACAAATGCACCCGGAAAGACTTCAATGAAAGCTATCATAAAATCACACAAAATAACAACAATATAAAAATAAAAACAAAAGGAAATGGAAAATTGCTAGTGGCTGAAATTGCTTGCGACAGGTGAAGCACATATATCCCAAGCACTGACCTTCCTTGCTGAAATCAGCGCTTCCAAACTGGCAATCCTTTTTCGCAATTTCTTGGAAAATGACCCTAACGATCGAATATATCCTCGAGTTTCTTCTGTATCGCTGTAGAGCTAAAAATTAACCCAACTGCCAATAATGAATAATAATAAAGTGCATTATAAATTTAATAATATCAGTATCACTTTCAACAATTATCAGTTTATAAAAAACAGTTAGAGCAGTATTTGATTCCCAAAATGACAATAATTTTCTTCCACTGATCTCAGCCTTTAGAAATTTGATTCACTGCATTTATAGTCTGGTTAAGGAAATAAAATATTCTGCCCAATCACTTAACAGTTAGTAATACGATGACAGACCTAAATTTCTTGGTCATCGTATTTGTCAATCTAAATATCAACGATAAGCTTCAGAAAATATCCCGACTCACATCAATCACATCATCAGTATCAATAATCAAAGCATTTATCTGTGTAATATCCGTCCAGTCATTTGCATCAATGTCTGATAGCATCTTACAATATACTGGAGCATAATCATCTTCTGGATCATCACTCAGTGCAGCGAGGATTTTCTGGCATAAAAAGGGATGAACTGATCCTTTCTGAAAACTATGAAAAAATGTGAACAAAGTGAGCAATTAAACCAAAAATATCCCTCTAACAAATTGAAATCAGTAAATTTAGATCCAGAAGCCCATCTAAAATGGCTATTCAGGTCCTTAATGCACTAACCATACCATTATAGGAATACAGTATGACGCTGAGATAAATATTTCAGACATGTACCATTCCAATATCTTGCTTATGATCTCAGCCAAACTTTACCACGTATATACCTTATCTTTAAGAGGCCAGCTAAGCAACAACCAATTTATCCATAAGGAATTATGATTTCATAGGAATTATGAAAGAATTAAACAGTAAATCTGCAAAAGAAGATCAAAACCGTACCTGTTTGTCAGCACCACTCAATAATTGTGAACTTGTTGCATGCACAAAGCATGATCCAACTGCTGCAACATTTATGCGTGAAAGTGAACCGACGAATTGCTCATCACTACGCAATGTATCGAAAGTTCCTGGAAATGCTTCAACCAACAGCATTTGATGCTCCCTATAAAACGCAATTAATTACATAATAATTACCATATCAAAATTCAGACTAAGTTACTGAGCTATAAATTTATGCGTTTTGACTTCAGTAAGTTAAAGAAAGTGAACAAATTTGACAATAGTTGCAATATATCAATCATGTTAAGCATCCTACGAAATATCAGCTTTGTTCCAAACGATTAAAATTTGACAAGAAAGACGGTTTAAGCTACAGCTAGCATTTACCTGCTCCATTCAGCAAATACTGGTATGAATGTAACCAAACACGCCTTCAATTTGGGAATGTTGTTCGTTGCTGGATCAAATGCCTTGAGCAACAAACGACTCAGAACACCAGCCCATGCAACATTTGCCTCCTTTAGAAACATTTTACATAGACATTCACAAGCTGCAAAACTCGTATCTGGATCCTAAAAAAGTAATGAATAGGTTTAGGAATTCATGTCAGGAAGTAACTGAAACTTTGCAATCTGAAATATGAAAATTATGCTTACTGGAAGTAAAATTTTACCAGGCTATCAATATATTCGGCAAAAACATGTAAAAGTTCATCATTCGGAGTTGTTGTATCTAATCCAGCATCGAACCAACGTGAAACCATAGGATAGCCATGCAGCAACGCCATGTTGCACAAGATGTTAAGCATTGTTGGCTTAAAGAACAAATATATGTGAAATCTGCTCTAAATATCTCACAAAATTATTTGAAATTCGAAAGAGAAGCAATTTTAATGCTTGAAAATTGCTCATTGTCGTACGACTGTTACAAACAACTCGTTAATTAAAATAACACGAAAATAACATTTACTACTAAAACTGAACGCTAAATAGCTCAGACTGAGTGAAAATGAACATATGACTGCTTTATCCAGATGTATGCAAAAAAGGACTTTTCACACAATCATCTGTTTTTGGCAAGCCCAAATGGAAAATTCCTGGTCTTTAAACAAAAGTTAATATTATAGAACAGCATACTCTTAAGCGCTGATCGATTTTAAGGGTTTCTTTGATCAAAATTGTTTTTTCAAATGCAACACGACGATCATACATAGCCAAAATACCCATCGCTTCAAATGCAAGAATTCGACAATTGATATCAGCTACTACCATACTTCGTTCAATCTGGAAGATTTGAAAATTGAATTATCTTAGTCACCCATCGATGGAAAAGTGTATCTAGTACTTTGATCTCCCCTCAAAAGTAATGTGATGTACTGATATTATGTCAAATTTTAACGATATGTTTACGCAGTTATCACGTAATTGTTCATATAGAAGCAAAGATGAATTTTCTTATATTCTAGTTAATAAGGCATAAGTATACACCGCTTACCATATATCTAAAGGGGGAAGAAGTCGAAGACAGTGAAAGGACAACGTTAATCACTGAAAGAAATTTAACTGCTTACAATATTTTCCAGAACTCCATGCAGCAAAGCATTCATCCTTTTGTAACGATTCGTTTTCAACATTGCACTCACAATCATAATACACCGACATATAGAATCGTCGTCAATCTCAAATATCACAAGTATTATATCGTTATATTCTCTAAAACTATTCTTTATCTTAATTTTAGGATAGATTTGACAGAATACTTGTACTACTTTAGGAAATCCGTGAATGTAAGATACATCGCACTGAATAAGCAAAAATTCACTTTCACTAACATATTAAAGATTGATGAGTAAAACCAAGTTCAGATTCTCATCAGCAGATTAAATAACGAATCATTCACATCTGAGAATTTCGCACAGAATAATACAGAAAAAGATTTTCAAAAGTCGGTAGCAAACGAACCTCTCCATTTTCGAATTCAGCAGCTGTTTCATTTCCTCCAATTGCAATCGTTTGATTTGCAGCCATCATCGTTGCATTAGGAAAAAGAGCTTTATGTACGATAGAACTTGTTAGATCACATAGGTTTGAAAGAGCTTCCTAAATTAGCGCAGAAAATTTCAGCTGCATAATTGAACTGCGCAAAAATTTAAAAGCTCGTAAAAAAATATTGACAAAAACAAGAAGTCTAATGCAACCAACGGAAATAAAAGACAAAATAATCCAGCCTGAAATTAAGACTATTGATCTAGCTATTCAAAGTTATAAATTGCGGCCATTAAAAATAGAAGTCAAACATCGTTCTGCTCAGAAAGTGGCCAAAGATGTGTGTACATCTGTTGAACAAGTTCATTGACGAGAGCTTCAGTCAGTTTGAGCTGCATATTACTCAAAACGTTTTCGCATAAAGTATGCCATGTTTTCCTGAATCAATTCTACCAGTAATTACCAAGATTTGGAGAAAAACATGATTTCAATAATTTCAATTATTTTCCACCAAATCAGAAAATCCTGAAGCAAACATGACTATCATCAAGATCAGTTAAACACTCAATGTTACGTTCCTATTATTAAGTTATAATTACACTTCAAGTAAAAACCATACAAGCATGTTTGGTTTGCAGTAAAACTAAAGTTAAATTTGAAGAAATTTTCGAAAAAAAAGCAATCATTTCTATGTTATGTTATGTTATGTTTTTTTTCTTTTGTATTTTCGAAATATTATTGAAATGCTTACCATCCAGACGGATCTCCCTGATCAAAAAGCGATATTATTTTCAGCAACTGCATTACAGTAAAGTTCTTCAAGGTAAAAAGCGCTTCTGTTTCATCACTGGACAACACAGTTGTTATATAGCTAAAATAAGAAAAATAATAACAGAATATTATAGACATTAAATGTTCTTCAGGAAGTCGATACAAATAATATTAGAAATATCACTTAACAAATCAAGGATGCTTATTGCGAACCAGCCGAAACTTACTTATGTATAAGTTCACAAAATGTCCGCATAGTTGGTAGCAAGCGATAATGGCATTCTGACCAGTCTGCTTCCGTCACGCACCTTGACTTACAGAAATCCAACAAGCAACGCCAGTAAAATACAGCATTTGCTTGTTCAAGTGCTGTCCAACTAAAAATTAATTTCTAAATTTTCCCAGCAACAAATTTTTAAGATCAAATAAATAAAAGGAGAGTTTAAAAAAAGAAACTATTCAGGTATTTCATTAAGTCTAACTCAACTGACTCATAATTAACATGAAGGCCTAAATTTACAATATTCTAGGTATTATTGAAACGCTATGTTGACGATGAGATAGGGACGATTAGAAAAATTACCTAAAATAGTTTCTCCTACCAGTGTATTCTTGTCAGTTTTACCAACTTGTGTTTCATTTATATATTTAGTCTGCGTAATTCTGTATTCACTTACAAATTAAATTTGCAAACATGAAGTTGTATGATTCTTTTAAACCCTATTATAAACGTTACGAAGATACCCCTCTTCGATCAATTTATTGCAATTATGTCGATGAAGAGATATGTCTTCCGCGTTTCGATTTAATGCTTTCACAAAATCCTGAACCTCGATTGAACCAAATCCCATTTTTTCACGGCAGTATTGAAGTGAATGGAGCATCAAGTTATGACTTATCTGAAACCAAGAGTAAACAATTTATAATATAAGAAATTCTTCGTAAAAACTAAGGTCATATTCTCACTTAATACGTGCGATATCAAAAATCAAAAATAAATAACCTGTTCCTGAGTTAATGGTTCCAGAAAACGCAATAAATGAGACGTTGCAATGCAGTAAAATGAAGAAAGCTCTTCAATACTGCCCGGCAGTGCTTCTATCCCACAAGCTGTTTTAAGCCATTCTCTGAGTAAGTCATTTAAAATCACAGTATGGTTTTGGCCTCGAGCTGGAACAGCAGTAGCAAAAATAAAGTTTAAAAAAAAATTATGAAGATTGTTTCCGCTCATAAATATCACATGAAAGCCCCAAATTTTTAGTTAAAATCAAGTTCTTACGTCATATAAAGTTGTTCTCAAGGACAAAGACGTCAATTTCTTCAATTTTCAAAACCAAAGTTATCACAGTTGTTTTAACTTACGTGAAGTGAAAGCACTCACCAGTTATATTCATAACGCTTTGCACTAAATCCATACGTTGTTTGATAGATAAGGCTTTCAAATCGACATCCTTGATAATTCGAACTGTCGCTGCTCGCCTTACTCGTTCTTCGGGATCACTCAATGCCATGTTTACCTGAGAACAACGCTTCTATACCACATAAGATAATCTGGATTGCTTGTGATTTACTCGACTTTACTAACAATACTAGTGACTTAACAAACTAAGACCTTAAAAAACTTTACAGGTCCTTAGCGCATATATCAAAACAAATAAAATATGGAAGTAAATTTGAATTTCAAAAGGTAACATCAACCAGTAGAAAACAGTCGTTGTTGAAAAGCACTGTCACGAAGATTCAAACAAGTATGCATATTCTGTTCTCAGAAACTAACATTTAGTTTTTCAATGGGAAGTAGGTTTTAAAACAGAAAAAAAATAAAATAAAAACCACAAGATCGACTTCCTCCTTCGAGGACAGTAATAATTTCTTCAGCGCAACAATTCGACATTCATACGATACATCACTCAAATGAGAAATCAATACTGAAACTGTGCAACAGTTAAACTAAAAAGCAAGCAGAACAACATATAGGTTCACTAAGCTTAACCGACTGGAAAATATATTGCGTCGCAAATTTGATTTCTTAAATTTTCAGTTTGAACAAATTGCTGTTTCTAGTTAGGAAACAGTATCGTTAAGACAATCACATGATTAACGGTTTTTAAAAATATCAGATATGTCACTTAGGAATACGATATTAACGATACCAGTAATGATAATGCAGCACTTCAAACTAAAACGGAACTCACGGCGTTTCGGAGAATTTGTTTGGTAATTATCGATTTTTGACTGCTCATCCTGTAACGTTGCTATTGCTTTCAAAGCTTCAGAACGAACCAAAGGATTCTGAAAACAACCGAGACTAGGCAAGATAGCAAATGTTTTAATTAATTTAAAACTATAAAAGAAAATGAAAGAAGTTTAAAAAAAGGGAATAATTTCAATCATTAATCTGAGAGCAACGTAAAGAGAATAAATCATAGAATATTATAAACACTCTTCGATTTGACTCCTATATCTACGTAGAAAAATACGTGAGCATATCCCAGAACACTGAGGAGTAGAGATATCAGAAGCAAACAAGCTTACGACATCTAAAAGACGCTTTGAAAGTATAGCAAATAATGTTTTGCTCAATTCTTTTGACAAAGGTGAGCAGTCCGCTTTCCGCGGATCTTGCTCGCGCAATCGATTTGAGATAAGCTTATTTAAATTTAATAATAAACCAGCCAGTGCACATACATAACTCCTAGTAACAGTTATGCACAAATCGTTCATCTGAAAAGATTAGTGATTAAATAGTTATGAGTAGTAAAAAGATATTCCTCCTAGAGAAAAGTGAATTTAAGTTATAAATTCCTTTATATATTTTAAATTATAAGGTCATGCAATATTAAGTGCACAGTTGAAATGTCAAAGAGAAATGATCTGTTTCGGATCTGAAGTCATACATCATTTCAAAAATATCTAAGGTACGACTGAAATATCATATGTAGAGCAATCGATAAAAAGCAACGAAAGTTTGACTGAGGAAAACAGTATATGGGGAACTTACATCTACACAAAAATCAACCAACAGCTGAAGCGGTTCATGCATGCCTTCTTGCGACAGTGCCAGTGCAACATGAGCAGACATCTTTAGACAATTAATACGCCCTTCTTTCTCATTATTTTTCTCACAAGTAAGTTCCAGTGCAAAACGTAAAGCCGCCAAATAACGTTCAATACCTCCTGGTACATTTAATGCCTAAAAAAGATCTACTTCGGCTCCTATTAATATCACTCATGCCCGATACACTTTTCTAGTGATAGTCCCTTTGTTTGGTGATTGCGATGAAGATAGAAAGGATAAAAACCTCAGCCTTTAACAAGGTAAAGTACAAAATGATCCCTTAAAATCTGTTCTAGTCCAAACCAAAAAGGATATTAAATTTACGCTCCACGTTAACTATAAATTCATTAAGAAAACTTTTACATTGATATACAATTGTTTGAGACGTCGCGTAATATTACATAGATCGGCACAACTTTTCACTCCTAATGCTCTCTGGAAACTCTCCTAAATACAGCGAATTAAATCAAATAACTCCGGAATATACATCCTTTATTATTAATTTCACTCATTACACCAGGCAAATTCTTTCTGTTACAGATTTATCATCCATATGGATTAAATGATAAATATGGAGGCGTAAAACTTTAGCTGAAAATTTCCTTCTATTGTAACACACCAAAATAAATATTTGCTTTTGCTTTAGGCTTTACGTTCACCATTACGACACAATAGCCTAACATTTTAAAAGTTCGACTAAGCTAATCATACAGCTTAAATAAATAAATTAACCGCAAACTTTGATAAAGCAATGCTAATATATTAAACGTGCATTTTTATGATTCTACAGCATATCCACTCAAAATGAGCTCGAAAATTAAAACTTGTATTTCATTGGACTTAATAATTGACCGAATATTACCTGCAAAACATTTTTTACACGTTCCCTCTCAGTATTCTGCCGTGATACTGGTCGTCCCGTCGGTGAAAAATATGGTCCTGATGTCATCAGATCTTCCAAGCATACAACGCCACACACACATACACTCTAAATTCATTATCACGTATTTTATGAATAATTCACCTGATAATTAATTAATTTATCAAAATGGTGGTCACATCACGTGATTTATTAACCATAAACTAATAAACTATTAGGAAGATTATTTAACTTATCTGACATGAGTGATTAAATGGAGTTAGTTACTATTACAAAGTTATTTCACAAATTAATTACCTTAAATCTAGTTTAATAAATTATCCAAAAGAATTTATACAAAGTCCTACTTAAAAAAAAATAACTTACAAATAAATTACGGGTAAAATACCCAACAAAACACGACCAACAAAGCAATCAAGCGAAACAGCCACACGCCACAAATAACAGTGATGGAATTCAACGCGGCCCACCGTTATACCCAGAGAGTCTACCAGAATAAGCGATCAAACATCTCACATACATTCCCTAATATTTAAATAAAATGGAATTTATACAATAAGAAGGAAAAAAGGGATATTTAAAATTCATTTTAGCAAAAAAAATTTTGAGATTTTCTTTTGTATAAATAAATTATTAAAGAAATTGTTTTCTTCGAGGAAACGATCTAACTATTGTTTTTTCTTTTTTTTTTTTTTTGAAAAGTTTTGAAAATGTTTTTTAATATTTATTTAAAGTTTTGTAAAATTTTGTAGACTATGTGATAATGAATCACATTTTAACGTATGTGTGAAATTCATTATTTAATATATATTTAAAAATAATGTATATAAATTAATAAATTTAAAAGAACAATGTAATATTACAAAATTTAATGTATTGATATCATCGTTTGTTAACTTTTACTATAACTAATTTTGGAAAAAAATTTTAGTTATAAAAAAAAATTTTATTTATTCTTTTGAAACTTTTCAAAATATTTAAGTATGTGTATGAGCATGCATGCAAGCATAACTTCATAAATGCATTGAAAAATATGCTTAATTAATTTTATACAGTTAAAATCCTTTTAAATCATTTGCAGAACTAAAATGCATGCTAACAAAATATTAATATTATTGTAATATATATTCTTCTTGTCCTTTGTTTCAGCACTTTCAATTATTACTTTTTTTATTAATTTACAATTTCAATTGCAAAGAAAATTGTTGTTACAAATGCAATAGACTAATATTCTATTACATTTGCATTATTTTTTCTTTTTTCATCTAAACCTACTACGATATTCGTATATTAAAATGACAGCAATGCGTGCAAGATGTTATTGTCATGCAATTGCATGAAATGCAAGCGGTTGCAAAACAATCTATGGAATCAGAAGATTCCGATGAGTCATTGCTAGCGGCATTGGTACTTAAATTCATTTCATTTTACTACAAATTTCAAATAATTCTACCAAAAAATTAGTAGCAAAATTTATATACGATTATTGAAATGAGTAGAAATATTATAATTTCAACATGAAATTATTAAATTTAGTTTATTTTTTGCTTGTTTTATTTATAGCTCTTTTTATTTTTTATTCACAATTTGATATTAATTATTTTAATTTTCAGTCAGCAGTAACATGTGCGGAAGAATTTACTGACTTTATACCTTTGCCAGCTATCGATTATAAAATTGTATTCTCAGTATCGGTTGCTGGCATTGGTATTCTTCCCGCTGAATTTGCTACCAATGGTACTATTCGGTTTCATTTACCAGCGGTTTATATTATTATTTCTGGACAAATTAGACAGATATGCTATTTCATTCAATTATTCCTTTTCTTTTTGTCAAATAATTTTTTTTTTTTTTTGCATAAACTTTTTATTCATTAAATTTGATCATTGTTTAGAAAATAATTAAAATAAATAAAATTAAGGACGAAATAAAGAAAAAAAATTATATAAAATTAAAATGAAGTTAAGAAAAACAAAGTAAAATATTTAAATAAATTTATCAGTGAGCTTATAATATCCTTACTAATGGATAATATCTGTTTCATACTATTATATTAACATTTTTCAGGAGGAAACAACAAATATAAATGTAACAGGTGAAGGGAAATTTTCAAATTTGGAATGGAAATATATAATGCAAATGCGATTTCGAGTTGGAACAGCTGAATCGGACACAGATCGAGTAGTGGACGGTGATTTATTTGAGATTGGAAAGCGTTATCCACCGATTGTAATTCGAATTAATGATGAAAATATTCGACGAGTACGAATTGAAATGAAATTTGTTGAAATGGTATGTTTAATTTATTGATTTAAATTTAGTCATTTAAAATAGGGCACTACATAGGCAGGAAAAATCATAATAATAATAATGTAAGAAAAGATAAGAGAATTATTTTTTTTTTTTTATCATAGAAGGAATAATTATTTTTTATCACGGAAATTAATTATAATAACAACTATTAAATTTCTGGTTGGAAGCTAACTATTTATGATTGAAAATTTTGCGAACATATGTATAAGCATAAAAATTACTAAAATTTGATAAATAATTAGTACTTCACATTTAATATTTTTTGAATTAAATTCAGTTAAATGTTCGAAATATTTTCGAAAATTTTCTTCCTTTCATCATTCTAATTTTATTTATTTAATCTACTTTTCATTTTTTTTTTTTAATGAAAAAGGAGATAATAATTTGATAATTTTTGCAGCTCCATAATTTTTTACCAAAATTTGAATATGGCGATATAACGTTAAAATTCAAAGATGAAACATTGCAAGTTTATAAAGCATTGCTTAGCTTGCATTCCAATTATATGGGTACTAATTTCGTTTCATTTATTAATTAACTAAACATATAATAATAATAATAATAATAATAATAATAATAATAATAATAATAATAATAATAATAATAATAATAATAATAATAATAATAATAATAATAATAATAATAATAATAATAATAATAATAATAATAATAATAATAATAATAATAATAATAATAATACTTATTGCCTATTGATCTTTTATCTAAGCTAATAAGTTGAAAATTATTCTGAGAAACAAGGGAAATGATTTGAAATTTTAAAAAGAGAAAAACATTTTCTGCTTTATCTCTGAATATGCAACTTTTTATTTCAACAAATTTTTGTTTTTGTTTAAAAGAAAAATAGCAGTAATACGGATTGTTAAATTACTTCATTCATTCCTTTATTAATAATTTTATTTGGGTGCTTTACTGTTCAGCAATAGAATTTAATTTGATTAATTTGATTTAATTTTAAACTAATTATGTTACAGCTGAAAAGTTAAAGTATGCTGAAGAGGGTGATATAGTTGATATGGGTGATACGGATGCAAATGATTTTAAGGAACTTTTATATCAGGTTTGATTTTAACTCTTTTTAACTTTTCAAAAAATAATTCTAACTTTTAAAAAATTAATTTTTGCTCAAATTTGATTACAATTCAGATTTATCCAACCAAACGACCAATATGGGCCAATTTAAAGAGTTTAACTCGAGCAGCAGTTGGTTTCCAAGCGGATGGTATCATTGATCGAATTACTTCCTATATTGTCAACTATGAATCTGTAAGCTCATTATCAATATTTCACCATTTTTTTGTTTTTATTTTGAAATTTTGTTTAAAATATTCAAATCAATACTGTAACTGTCAGTAAGTTTCAATTTTATTTATTAACAAATTGCTTTAATTTAAAATTTTTTAATTTATCTTATTAATTTGAACAATAATAAAAATTTATTGTCATTAATAATACAACATGATTAGATGTATATGGAGCAAAAGATAACGGAAGCAATCAAACTTGAACTACCGAGTGCTATCGAAGAGTTAGTTTACAAAGCAGAACAGGATGGTTACTGGGTAGATATTATCCGTAATGGATTAAATCCGGAATTGGAATACGGTGTTGCCATATATAATTATATTATTTTACCTGCAGTTGCTAAGGTTTGTTAATTTATAAACTATAAAAATGAAAAAATATACTAATATTGCATGAAAATTATTTTTTTAACCTTTCTCATTTTAATTTCTTTTAATTCCAATGTTTTTTTCTTTCTTAAATTTAATGATTTATGATGCTAAAGTAAAACTGAATGATCAATCTATGACTGAAAAAAAACTTTTAGAAAGTAATTTTTTTTGCTTTATTGATGACATCAAAATTTGTTATTTTCATTTATAAAATATAAATCAATTAAAAAGTTTTAGTAATTAGAAAGAATTATCTACTATAATAGCAATACTACACGTTTTTTATAGTGGTATTAAACGTTATCATGATAATATCACACGTCATCATCACAATAGTATAATACATTAGCATAAAATAATTTGCATAAAAAGTGAGTAAAATCTATTTTCTAGGCTAAAACATTACCACTGGGAACACCAGTACGTGATCAATTCTTCAAAGAGATTAACTTTCGTAAGCCACCCAAAAATGATTATGATGATAATGATACGGTGATATTAATTGTTAATGGTACTAAATTATATGTAAATAAAGGTATCATGAAAGTAAATAACGATGCAATGTTTGGTCGAGGTAATAAAGGTATGCCAGAAAGCTTATTTATATTCTTCATTTAATTCTTTTGCATCAAATTTAAAATCATTTTGGGATTTGTGTGAAAGTAAATTATTTTGAAAATATCATTGATTACACTCAGTGTACTTTATAATATTTTTAAAATTTTGCAGGTGAAATGATAGTGCAAGTGAGTTGTGAATTAGCAGAAGAATGTGCAAAAATAAATAAAACACCATTATATATTGTTGAAGTAAGTTAATCAATATTAATTATATAATGATTAGAAAAAAAAAAGTTATTGAAGATAGGAAATAATTGTTAAAACTTTTTCAAAATATCACAAATAATGTTAAAATTGCTGTTTAAATATGATTAAATTATAATTCACTCAAAATCGAATAATTTTTAATTTTTTTCAATTGCAGAAAACTTTTTCTGACATTCTATGATTGAACTTTAAAAAAAGAGAAACGCCGACATTTGCATTCTTTTGAATTGTCTGATTAATAAATAAATCGATAAAAATTAATAATTTTGCGGAGAATTTGGTTAAAAATGGGAAAAAGAGAAAGAAAGCAGAGAGGTGGAGTGAGAGAGAGAGAAAGACAGAGAGAGAGAGAGAGAGGGAAGGAAAGCGATAATACAAATTGACGAATTTAAAATATTGAATTAAGCAATTTCAGGCTTTGCTTCAACATATTTATCCCTGGAATAAACCTATCGAAAGCATTTTACTACGACCATTGCTTTTATTTTGTAGCGCTTATCACATGGAAAATGCCATAAACTCAATTGAAAATGTAACATTAGCATAATTTAATTAGTCTAATAGATTAGAATTGTTAAAATTGAAACATAAAATATAGCAAAAATTGAATTATAAGTTTGAAGTGTTCTTAATTGTATGGATGATAAGTATGAAACAACGAGTGATAGAGAAGTGATTGGTGATAAAATAAAAAAAAGAGAAATAATAAGTAGCTAATAACACTAAGAGTTGTAAAGATTATCTTAAAAAAGTTTCATTTTAATAGGTAAATATGGTAATTAAGTGGACATTATGAAATAAATCCCTTAATTTCATTTTTAATTATAATGTGTTTCAATTTGTTTAATACCGACATTGATTTTGAAAACTTCAAGCTTATTGTTGCTTTCTCTTTTCTTTTTTTTTTTTTTTTTGTAGTATTTAATTCAAGAACCGCCAATTTCACCTGAACGATTCATTGAATATTTCGAATTAGCTGAAAAATATAACTTAGAAAATCTTTTACGCCGAAATTTACATCGAATAGAAAATAGGTATAATTTTAAATTGATTATTGCAAGTTTTCATTTTTTGCAACATAAAATACCTTATTGAGCTATTAAAGAATGAACATTTACTAATGTATTTATGATTCTTTCATCAGTTATTATAAAATTAAGAAAAAAATTTTGTTATACAAAATGACATTAGTAGCTAATTTAAACTATTTAATAATTAGTGATCAAGTTGAATGTTATTACATTGATATCGCTTTTTGATTATATATATATATAATTTAGTTAAAATAAGATTATATAGATAAAATTTCAAAATGTACACTGGAATTTTCAAAAAACAATTTTGAAAGCAATAAAATCATTTTAATCATTTACTGAAAAAAAGAAAAAAAAAATGCAAAAATTTTTACGATCATTTTCACGAAATTTCTCATTCAGCTGCCGACATTTTGCACTTCCAATGATCAATCATGCAGATTTCATGAAACTGACAGAACAAACAAGAAGTCAAATTTTGGACAGATTTTGTTCTGGATGGGGCGTAGGAGGGTATTCTTTTCATCTTTTTTCTTTGCTTTAAGTTAGCCAGATAAAGCTCTTCAATCAGAATATCAATGTGATCAAACTAATTATTAATAAGGAATTTTAATTTGATGTAAGTTCAATAGTAAGAAAGAAATTTTTAAGCATGAATCCAACGAAACGTTTGAGTCGATTACTAACAATAGAAGGTAATGAGGGAAACACAACTGTTGAACAAGACAAAAAATTATCAACATTTATGGTTTGATTGCATTTTTATCATTCCAAATTATTTAAATGATATCTTCCTCTACACAGCATTTTGCTTATACATGAATACTAGCCTAATTCAAAATATAAATGACAGACAGTCACAGAACTAACCTTAAATTATCGTAGTATTTGTGATGCATACTGCAGGAGATCGATTCTCAAGCAGCTTTTGGTAGCTCCGAGGAGATAAATTGAACACTTGAATTAACATATCAAGTTTTGTGATAAAGTAAATAAAATTGTTTATTTATATATTTTAAAAGATGTAATAAAAAATTGAACATACCTTCCTGTAAATGCAGTAATGGCTTGAAAGGCTTAATTTCTTTCATTGCCATACAATTAAATTTAGTGAAGGGTTTGTAAAAGTGATGAACATTCCTTTTTTTATGACAGCAGAGATTACAATAAATCATGATGACAAGAAACTTTTTTTCAAGAGCAAAATTAATTCCGAAGATGGGGAGACCTCAGACATGAAGGCAACAATCATTCCTGAATGAGCAGAATTCTTATGATATCTTCATATTTCACATAAAATTATGTCACATTTCAGAACTCATTTCACTTTTTTTCTGAAAAGATGAGTAAGGAAGACCATACAAATCATTTTAGATTTAAAATTATAAGATCTATCATAAAAATTCTGATAATAACAAGAAGAGAAAAAATTTATTTCATTAAATTTATACTAAATCACAGAACTTTTGCAAAATGACAAATGAAATTTTAAATTTTAGATGAACCAAAGCATTGTGAAATATGACAAAACAGTTATGAATTGGATATGTATTTCACATTTTGCTGCTGAAAATATGAAAATTAGTTTTTTCTCTCCTAGTGCAATAGATAGATAGACAAGTTAGTGAAAGAATGGGAATTGAATATGAAAAATTAAATGCAGACAGAGGCATTTTTGATGTACAATTTACAACTTATGACTAAGAATTAAACATATAAACGAATTAGCACTTAGCACGCAATTAGTATTTACGCCCAAATATCATATACCATGTAAAAGAAGCTATGTACAAAATTTACAGTTCGGTAACTGATAGTCATGCACAGAAAAAACAAATTCGATCCTTTCCTACATATTATTACAGTACCAATAAAATGCTTTATTGTAAAAATAGCAAGTTAATATGCAATGCTACTATCACTTATGCGCTATCAATTACCGTTATCGCATTCAATACCGAAATGTGAATATTACACAAACTATACATGAAGTAGAATCCAGAAAATTAAGTGATATCCAGATAAATTTATTTGACGTCATATATATAGATAGATAGATAGATAGATAGATAGATAGATAATGTTATAAACAAGGGCTCTTTAGAGAAAAAGCACAAAAAAGGGTAGTAGGTAGGGAAAATGTCATGGATTAGAAGTTAATAGTCGAAGAAAATCTGCTAATTTCAATCATCATTTGAAGGTGTTATCACAAAGTTACAAATTTTCGATTAAATTACATCACAGTGGAAGATAAACATTACGTTGTATCTGGTAGGTCATTTTGACCAGTTGCGGCAGGAGTACTCTTCACCTCCTTTTTTCGATCTATTCGACCATCAGCACTTTTTTTCTTTTCCAGATTATCGATAATATTTTTTGTTGTGCGGAAAAATCGTCCCGATCGAAATATTATCGACCGATATATGAAATTCATCTGCAATAATGAAATTTTAGTTGCTACGAAATAATTTAAGATGAAATAACTGCGTTTTATATGAAGATGTACATAATAAATGAATGTATATCATCGTCATTATTTATATACAATCAAATTTTAATTTACCTCTCTCGTCGGATACAGCAGATGCATATGAAGATGGCGCACAGTAACAAATATTGACCAGTGAAAGCCCATTCGTAGCAAACCTTCCACAGTATCAGCTTCACCCTTCTCCTTCAGTGTTTCGCGCAAATAATCTCGTCCAAGATGATCCATTTCTTTTACTGAAATACAGTAAGAAATACGAAGAATTACTGTTATTACATCACTATTTGAAATTATACCAGTTTCTAAATTTACAATGACACATAATTTCAACTAAAACTAACGTATGATTTCAAAATGTTTGAAAATAAATAATTTATTAAATTAAATTCAGATGGACTTCTATTAGTGCAGTATTTTATAAATTTATTTTCATTATAAATTCTAACCACTGAAGAAATAATGAAATCCATCAATAATTGCTTCAAGCAAATAAACGGTATTAGTGGTGGACAACACACTGTGCAGCATATCTTCAAAAGTCTTAAGAAATAGCTCACCAAGGGGAAGATCAACAACTGTTAAATCACTTGCTTGATTGATATGCAGTTTGCTGAGTATTAGATAGTGATGTGGTGCATGTGGTGATCTATCTTGAATTACCACCGCCTTAAATGTCGTTTCCGAAAGTAAATAGTAAACAGTAAACAGGAAAAAATTTTAAAGTAACTGCTTCAGTTCATTATTTTATAGCACAAATTTGTAGTGCGCCGGATATAATTAAAACAATCACAGGAAGAATACAAAAGCCTAATTAACAAAAATTTTGTGACATCTTAAACAGTGAACAAAAAATACCTCCAGATAGCATAAGCTTTATGCATGAAAAGCATAAGTTCTATGCATGAAATTCAAATATGACTGTTATATGTCATTAGAAGACGTCAGATATATAAAAAGTATATAACTACGGTCTTAAAGAAGCAGTCTTAAGTAGTTAAAGGATTGCAACAAAACATTGTCGCAATCTATAAATCTTCTATTTCAGTTATTCACTTGTAATATGACACTCATAAGTGACTACTAACATTATCAGATGATTTCAAATGCTTGTCACGTTGACCATGTATAATACTACAAAATACACACCCTCGAACTGCAGTTGCCATGCTTTAATGAATCCTGTAACAATCGTTATATTTATGATCGTAGTAATAGAGAAAAACGAAAAGTAAGAAAAAAAAATGAAAAATTTGATGATTCACGATAATCAATTCAACTGAAATTCTTGAGTTAAATTATTTAGAAACAGAAATTTTTCTAAGCTTCTAAATCTGTGGTGTACCTCAAATTAATCCTAATGTTATCGTAATAATACCACTATGATTTTCTTATTTCTGGAAAATAGTTGCATTGATGATGACAATAGTATATGACTGCTTCCGGGGATATAACTATATCTCACATGCTACCGACTACTCCAACTATCTGCTGAAAAATTTTTCCCATTCAAAAACAGTAACCTAGCGACCATACACGAAACAACGAGACGAAATAAAACAGTATAAATCAGTATCGCACATTCAGCACTCTTCCTTAATTCCATTCTTTCTGATGTCTTTTGGTAATAAACACTTATCTATAACATTTCGAGAACATGCGTTATCGATTTAATTTCATGACTAAAAGAAAAAAAAAGATAAAAACTTTTCAAAAACATAAAAGAGAAAAAAGATTACTTTCTAATAATAATATCAATTATAATAAATAATTGATAATAATAGCAATAACAAATTTCTAATAAAAATAAACAGAGAATGCATTTAAGCGGATGATTTTCAAAATGGTAGTGGTCCGACGGTTTGCCTTGTTATAATACTTCATCACATCAAAACCACCCTTCTAGCATGTTTAACAGCATTCTCTTCACTGAAAGTGCCTTTTTGGGTACTTCCTTTCTGCTTTGAAGTATGAAATTTAGGAAGAAGGAAACTACCACTAAAACTCAGATATTTGAGTAGCTCAGCTTAATTTGATTCACAGCGAGAAGGAAAGAGACTCCAATTTCCAAAAAATTAAAACTTCAATCCCCAGATAAAAATTCAATTTATGTATGTATTCAATTACTGAAACACGGTTTCAAAAGTACTGCTCCGATATTTTCGGCAAAAATTTTGAAAAGTAATAATAATGAAATGTCTCATTTTATTTCTGTTCTGACAGACAACAAAGAATGCCAAAATCAACTGATAACTATTTTAAACAAACAAACAAACAAGCATAAGTATATGAACAGAGTAATAATAGATTGACCAGAAGTAATTCGCTCTCTTCAAGCTTTTAGTTCAATTTCTGACAATTTAAAAGCTATGCCCCTCTAATCCAGAACTCGTCACTACAGGAGACCTACAACATTTTCCTAGGACGTTTATTGAAAGAATTCGAAATCTAAAATTCAATTATTAAGCATAATTCCAAAAGTACAGAACATTTTGAACCCCTCGATGGAGACACTTCATTTTTCTTAAACATCTTTCATAATCTTAAATTGAGTCTAATTTTCATCCTGAATAATCATTATGATCGAAGAGTATTTGATCATAATTTTGAGCTGAAATTTCACGACCAGCAAAATATCGTTTGTCTAGCGCCTGCCGCGCCGTATCTGCTTCCTGTGGATTATCAAATCGCACAAATATCTTCACACTACCGTTTGCTGGATCTTGAGCTATTACAACCTGAAAAATACTATTATAGTTACATAGGTCCATAAAACTTTGAAGTCGATATTTTTTTTCGAGAAATATTATGCCTCTATCAAAAAAGATAAAATATCGGAAATGAAATTAGAATTTATTGATACATGTGAAATTTAGTACTCTCCACATTTATCAAGCATTGGCAAACAACACTGATGCTAAAAGCGCATTCCAGTCGCTATCACAAGAAACAAAATTAAACTCTCAGTAAAAGAAGTACGAAATTCTTCATTATCATACTATTCAAGTTTACTGCCCTTCTTACCTCTTGCACTTTGCCATATTTGTTACATTCATCACGAATTTCACCCTCCAGTTCATCGTCGCATTCTTCAATCGTTACCATATTTTTCAGCACTATTACTGTTGATCGATTTGTTCGCATTAGTTTATGCATTAACAGATGCCTTGCATCGTTCCCTAAGTGATGGACAAATTTAGTTATACATATTTCGAGGAAATTAGCGAAATAATTTAAACAAAATGACGATATATTCAACCAAAAAATCCGGTCAAAATACCAAAATATGACCAAAAGTCTTACCTCTGATTTCTAACCCTTCTTGAGCAGCCAGTGATACATCATCTGAATTAGCATTCTGCGCAGCCATCTGATCATTGAGTTCACCAGCCCGGCTTGCTGCTTCCAGTGCTTGAGGAGTGTTCAACTGCAATAATATCTACTCAAATTAAATATTAAAACGAAGTCCAAACCAAAAAACCTCTAATCTAAAATAAAAAAATGAATATAAGAGATTCTATGAAAATGTAAGCAAAAACGAATAAACCTGTGGTCCTTTTGGTACAACGGATACTGGCTTTTTTTTCTTCTTTTTCTGTGGTTTATCATCCGGTTTTGATCCTTTTTCTTTACTGCTTCCGCTCGTCCTCTGCAAATCGCGTCGACCTGGTATGGAACTATCAGAAATAACCAAAGCCATACTACCGGAATCACTTGTTGATGCGTGACCAATTGCAAGCTGATCCATTACGCCATCAGTAGTAGCCATCCTGAATTTAACTTATCAGTTGTTTTTTCTTCCATTCAGAGTAAACCTTTGCTTTACACCTTTGTCCTCCGTCTACGTATTTTTTTTTTCCTTATTTTTGTTTTTATAAGATTTTAGTTCAATTAAACTCTGCAATCTTATCGTAAACTCGAGTCCATTTCAGTAAACTCATTTCAACCTACTTCAAAAAATGCAGCAATTTATTCTAAACAGATTTTTTTTTCTTTAATGGTCCAGTTTTAAAAATTTAAAAACTAACGTTTTACGATCTATAGGGGCAATGTTAGCTGGAAGTGGAGCAAATGTAGCAGGTTCAACAGCAGAATTTGTTGGAGTGGTAATGTTTATCCTCGATATTAATGACTGTGTAGACGACAATGTTGCAGGAGGTGGCGGTATTGAAGAAACCTACACGATTTGCAAAATTTCAAAAACATCAGGACATTACCTTTGTTCGTAAATCTATATATAAAAATTTTCTATTATAATACAGTGAACGTTTTCAGTTCTAGCCGGGTGAGTACTTTTTCTTGAAATTTTTTGAAATCAATACGTACTGGTGGCGGTGGTACCGGAATTGTGGTAGCGGGTGTTGGTATTGATGTTATTACTTGTGGTGGCGGAATGCTAACAACTTGCACAGGAGGTGTCTGCACGGCAAAACCACCAAATCCTCGACGGGTACTACCACCAGTACCTGGAGGAGGTCCCGGTGGAAGTGGTGGCGTTGCAACAGGTGTAGGTGGCGTTGAAATCTAGAAGACAACAATAACACGTTGCACAAGAAAGATTTCAAAGAATTAGTAAGTTTTAAAAACTTAGAAAGGAACTTCAAATTTTTATTATGGCTTTCATGTATTTCTGTCAGTTCAAGGTAAAACATTTCCTGGTATTTTTCACAACACAGTAGAACTCGCTAACTTCATGCATATTAAAAAGAGATACCTGATTAGGAACAACTACAGTAGATGGCGGAGGTGTTGGGGGAACAACCGCTGGAGCATACGGCTTTCCTCCTGTTACTGGTGATATTGTCGCAAGCCCGACCACTGGAACAGTTGTTATTCCAACAGGCGGAACTGTTGGAACACCTACCGGTGGCGCCGCTTGCATATTATATGGTTGCGGTGAGCTTTGCCGAACCGTAATACCTCCTGACAACTGTAAAAGCAACAGATGTGTTTTATGGATGCAAATTTTATACAACTCAGAAGTTTTGAATTGAAAAAATTTGATAATGCTGAACGTTGATGAAGGATGCAGATTCAATCTAATTAAGTGAATGGATCACATTTCAGATTTGATTCAGCATCAAGTAGATAATATATCCCACAGTTTATGGTTATATTTCAGCCTACCGGAGACGTGCTGGCAGTGTGAACAGGTGACTTCTTTGCAGTCATTTCTTCGGCTTGAATTTTAGCAGTAACTTCAGCAGCTGCAACAGCTGCAGCTGTCGGCAGATTCACGGCAGATGTGGGAACGATATATGTTAGTGCATCCGGTGGTGTGATACATTTCCCAACGCGTAAATACTGACCACCAAGGTCGAACATATTCATCCCAGCAATGGCTTCATTTGCTGACTGAGCATTACTAAATTCCAAATATCCAAAACCTCTGCAACATTGTTCAACTCTTATTTAATAGATCTATAGGATAAAAAAAATATATATATATATATATATATATCAAACTGAAATCGCCTGCAACAGTTTGAAAAATAATTGCTTACCAGTACGAAAAAAACATGTTTCCTTCAATTTCAACGACCGATTGGTGGGTGATAGAAGTAATTAAATTTCAGTAATTTTATGTTCTACAGGAAAGAACCGTAAATGAAATATGTTAAGGCTCAAAAAATTCCATTAGGAAATGACATAAACGAAATACTAAATATAATAATAGGACCAGGTAACACGAATAACATGTTCACAAAATAAAACGGCATTTGTATGCTTTTTACCTATGTCCGCTTCCAGCGTTCGGTCCCGTAGCTCTGGCTAGTTGACATTTTGTTACTTCACCAAATGCTTCAAATACACTTTTGAGATCAGATTCTGAGAGATCCGGATGAACCGATGCAACGTAAACCCTGGAAGGAGTTAACTAGAAAAGAAAGGACGACGTATGTGTCATAAGTCTCCGAAAACCTGATTAATTTTCAAATAAATGTTTGCAAATATTCATACTTTTCGTATGCAGATAAAAGTGTAAAATTCTTAGTAGATAAAATTTTGTTGAAAAAAGTTTCATATAATTGCCAGTGAACAATTGGAAATTATTCGAGACACTACTATTATGATTGCAATGATAAATTTTGTTGATAAAAGTTTCATATAATTGGCAGTGAACAACTGGAAACTATTCAAGGCACTAATATTATGATTACAATGAACTAAATCTTAGAAAAACAACCCATAAGTATCCAAATTTGAGGTACTAACCTATGATATGCTTTCGCTTCCTGCATCACCATTTCAATAATCGGCTGAGCTTGTGGCATATTTGATGGCCGTCCGACCTCAAAATTGAGATCAGTGTGTAATACTCGAGATCTACCTAATCTACACTCTTTTGAAGCATATAACTAACACCTGTGCATCTTAATAATGTTTTAATTAGGATATTGAATAAAAGATCCGTCCATAATTCAGCAGCCATGACAGTCCGTCCAGGATTACAAAAGAAAACACAATAAAAGATAATAAGATAATTAACTGACTAGAACATTAACCTTGAGATTGCGGCCGCCCATCAGCACACCGTTCATCGACTCCTGTGCTAAAAGCGCTGCCTCTGGGATTTCGTATTCCAAAAATGCGAAACCTTTGTGATGCTAAAATAGTACAACATGCAGTACTATTTTTCTTATATAAACCAATTATTCTGCAAATCACGATCACCGACAACGACGATAATATCATCGGAGTTATCTAACCACTAAGTACAGTACCTTTTCAATACTAGGATCAACAAAAAGAATTCTAAACAGTATTTCGAATAAAACTCGCGATAATTCATAAAATCTAGTCTATAAACCGCTTTGTAGACTTCATTTTTCCACGTAACTTCACAAGGAAAGGGTAGAAACATTTTCTTATCATCTCATGCCGCCTGGATTGGTATGAACTAACCCCTGTAACGGCATCCCAACTCATATTAATTGATTTGATTGGACCAAATACACCAAAGGCATTTTTTATCATTTCTTCGCGAACTTCAAAACTGATCGAACCAATATAAACACGTGCCATAAGAGATAAAGCCTGTGCATACATTGCCACTTTTTGTTGCTGAAACAATAAGATGATTGCAGCACCAAAAATAGCACAGTCTTATGAATCGTAATGAAGACTAGTTCTGATGAAGATATATAAAAGAATTACTGAATTGGTCAGAAATTTAAAATCAGTAACAATTTATTAATTCACGCGTTGCTGTCTTCAAGTCTCCAGAATCAGCTTTCTTCTATATGCAGAATTACAAAGAACTCCTCTTCATACAAATTATTCCTTCAATCAAGTAATTTTATGAAGTTCAGAATCAGGACATTATTAGTTCATCAAAAAACACATATTAACCTTCTAAATAATTTATATACATGTTGCACTAACATTTTGCTGGTGTGCAAGTGTCTGTCTGAGAAGTACTTGCTTGATTGACTGTTCTTTAGCATATTTTTTTGCATCTGCTAACCAATCCTTCTGCTTGCTGCGCAATTTTACAAGGCCCAACCCGAGTAGTTGAGCCTCTTTCTTAGCTCCAGGCCCAACAATAATCTTGAAAAAAGAATAAAAGTTAAATTTTTTGAAAATGGTGATACGCCATAGCTCAACTAGCAAACAAAACGCGGTATAGCTTGGTATTTTTAATTATATCATAAGAAATCGGATATTCACAACGATTCTGTTATATAACCTGCAGCACACAAAAAAATCTTTTCGAATCAGCTTTTGAATTATTCATTCACTTCCGGTATTACGATTTAAATCCGCACTCTGCAGTGGTAGCGAATCTGTCATTACAGGGATATTATGGAAGAAAAATTCATATAACTGATACAACTTTTCCTTTTACAAAACACGCAACACAGGTTTCTACAAAAGGCAAAAATAACCGACAAAATGAGATAAAATAAAAATAAAGGAGAATGAGAAACTTACAGCGCCAGACTGCGGGAGAACGGGCATTGGTACAAGAGCTTCGCTTGGCATGTATGTTGTAACAGGTACTGTTGTAACATGCGATCCTGTAGTACCATTACTTTCTGAAAACACAAAACAAAAAACGTGTCAATAAACAAGGAAACTTTCCAACTTATGAAATAATCCTGTAAAAACGAACCTGCTTTGACCTGCATTCCAATAACAGTCGTATGGTCTGGTTGTTGTTGTTCGAGTTCATCCATAATCTAAACAATATATGCCTCGATTCAAATTTACTCGTTCTGATCAATGTTGAAAACGCATGCGTAATAACACCCAGAAATGCTAATCTCAACCTACCTACTTCTTCTCATCGGACTATTGTCACAAGATGATAACACTCGACCACATTGGCTACTATCCACTCTCCTTGTGCTACTCCAATGCGATGGTTTCCGTCCAACACAATCACCATGCAACGACAAAATGGGAGCGCAATGAAACTCGCATCAATTTACGGGATCCCAACAACAGCGTTGTCCAGGGTGTACCTCACTGCCTGATCGTTCATAACATTTCTTATTATGGGTAGGTATTTCAAAAATTTTAAATATGGTCGAATGACGGCAAATAATATATGTACTGTCTAAAGACGTGAATAACCAATAATGCGAAACGAAGTTGAAAATTAATGCTCGAAATTTAATAAAGTCATGATTAAAACGAGAACTGGAAAGTTTGATTAGAAAATTGGACAAGTTAGGGATTACTGACATCATTAATGAAGACAATAGAAAATTTTATAATCTAAAAATTGAAAAATAAAAGATACATAATACAAGATAGATACAAACTAATGACGTATGAACAGAGAATGACTATCAAATAATATTACTATGCTGATGCGACAGCTGAATAAATGTTAGAAATTCTTCCACAGAATAGAATAAAGGATGAGTAAGAATAAAAGAACGATGAAGTAATTTTAAATTTGATGATTTATTGTTACATACCGATCACTGATGAACGGTATTAAATGACAAACTGAAAATATGGAAGAATGGAAAACTTGCAAACATATTCTGTAACACATTTTCTGATGAAATGTCAATTCTTGTCTAATATTCCAAATATAAGTATCTAGCAAAAATAAAATTACAAAAAATTAGCAAAAATTAGCAGAGAATCCATTCTTGACATAATAATGTTTTGGATTCTTCACAAGAAATGATAAATTAAAACGCTAGGCAATGCATGTTTTAAAAACTAAATTATTTCGTAATAAAAATATTTTGATTGGAATGATTTTACATCCACTATAAAGCATCTTCGGGATTTTCGCATCGATTTAAATAATCAGTTAGCCGTGCCACCAATTTATCATTCTTATTCAGTGCATCTTGCAATCCATCCACCAGAAATTTTCGCTTCTCACGATTTCGTTGAACCTTTAAATTCTCAATCACAAATATTCAAAAATTACGCATAATTAGTCAGAGAAAAAAAAACATGATAAAACATATGCAGTAGATAGAAGGAAGTAATTAGTGGGATACTTATGATTAATGAGCTAAGAACACGAAAGTTTCTCGACATTATTGATAATTCTAAACGGTATTAATCGCCAATATTTTCTTCGTATATAGTATATTTGCAGGCATATTAGCTTGTTATTATTTTGTTATTTTTTATTAATTGTGAATATTTTCATCGGATGTTTTGCAATAGAATATGCACATTTTAAATATTTTATTTCTATAAGCTCCAAAGTTTTCATGAAAATAAAAAAGTTACTTGTTCTTCGTCGGTATTATCATTATTGATCTGCAAACTGTCAAGTGTTTCTAAGAGTTTCATACAATTTTCAGTGTATCCTTTCAGGCGTTTATCCATTCCCTTGATGTATCCTCGCCTCTCAGGATCTGTAGTACTTGATTTTCAGATAGAATGTGATATATTAGCCTTTTTGTCTTACCCAGAAATGTCACTATTTATTTCATTCACTCAGGAAAAAACGGCCCTTCTTATATGAGTAGAGTGGTAAAACATAGTTAAACAGTAGAATAAGTATTATCCAAGCTAAACTAAAAGTTAATTGATATCAAAATTAAATCGATAACAGAGTTATGCAATACACTGAACTCTGAGTTGTTGTTTGCTGAAAATTATTAAATGATTACGCAAGCAAGCAAGTCACAAAACCTTTTAAGAAGTTCTTCTCCAACTGGGTCAGATCATTTTCGTTCCTTGCATATGTTTTAGATATATCCATAGCATGCTTCCGCTCGAAATCAACCAAAAGCTTTAAAAATAGGTAAGTTTTTTTTAAGCAGTTCTGAACTTAATAAAATTGTTGTCCTGATGGGTTTTGATTTCTATATTACATCACCGTACAACAAAAGACAGAAAAATTTTTTCCTAACATCTTAAAAAAGTTCAATTTAATTTGCAAAAAAAGCCTAACGAAATATACTTTAACACCAGATGTGCCATTTCTAATAATTAGTTACCTATATTGCTAATGCTGTAGTGGAATAAAAGCTATTTTATATATAACAACCTTCCATCCAATATCTGTTGCCGTTGCCGGTGGTTTTCCAAGAATCAACAATTTATCATTTTCTTTAAAATTAAAAGATGACAGTAGAGTAGAATTATCACCCATCAAAATGCGTCCTAAATATAAGAATTTCTGCATTACGTAATTCCTTCTCTGACATCCTAATTTAAACACTACTGCATGCATGATTAATTAATTGATTTCATTGATAATATTTTCATCACTATATTCCATAATACCGATGACAAAAAGATTTAAAAGTAAGAATTATTTTTTGACTTCTCAAAAAGATTATCATACCTCTGTGAACGATTTTTAAAGCAGCTGGACTAATATTGCACAATGAACAAATTTGCTGTTTGAGTGATCCAAACGTTGAGATCTTTCCTGCATCTACTGTACTCGTGCTAATAGTGCTATCCTCTTGAGCTGCTACAAAAATTGATAGCAGTGAGGTTTTATCAGGTCAAAAAAAGAAAAAAAGTTGGACCTGTCAAACGATTCTCGTATTTATTATTATTATTATTTCATCAGTAGATTCATAATAATTGACTTTATTGCAAAAACTAACATTCATAATAACTTATTACACCTTATTCTATCACTGCATATCCTCAAGATCAAGGAAAAAAAATCGCAAATACGTTGTAATTTCCACTGCTTAAACTGTCTAATACTTAAGTAACACAATACGACCAAGAATATAATTTTAGATTAGATATAGAAAAATAACTTAAGCACTCCGAAAAGCTTGTCAAACGAATGATTTGATGTATTCTTGGTTTATTTTTCTTATATAATTTCGACTGCAGATTATAATTCATATAACACTAAAGAAACGGATAACCATAACATCAAAATATTCCATCAAAAATTAATATTTCCAAAAATACTCACAAATTTGTAACAAACATATTGACTGACAAAGAAAAAAATTTTTCCACTTACAAGTAGTTTCACTTTCAGCCACGTTATTTGAAAGTTCTTCAACGTCAACCTCTATAGGATAAACTTTAGTTGCACACGAAATATTTAATTTCATTGCGTACTTATTCAATCAATAAATCCTTGAAAAAAAGAAATTGGCATTAAAGAGTAACAAAACAAACAGTAATAAGTATCAAACAACACACGCTCTTATGGATAACATATTTATAAACAAAATTAAATATTACGTAACTCGCATACTAACTCATCATTATACGTGGCAAAAAAGTATTTTGTTGACGCTTCATTTAAATTTATTTACTGAACTTTTTAATTGCCTGATTATTTAGCTTTCGTTAGCAAAAAGAAAAAGCAACTGAAAAAAAGTTTATAAATTAAATTAAATACTTAAATTGTTTACTCTTACCTAAAATTTAAATTACTTAGCCATACACAAAACACTGGGATCAATCTCTTACTTCTCTCTAGCAAAATATATGTCTAGAAACCTTCTGTAACCGTCTTCCACGTCAACTTAATACCAAACCAATCAGTGAGACCACTTAGCATTCTATTAGATGAGATTAGGATTGCACAGATAGCATTTAAATGCTGACACTTAGCGAAAGATGAAAAGTTCTTATAAAGCGTATTGATTGAGGGGCTAGAGCAAGGGAAGAAGCAGATACTTTAGAGAGTCATAGGCAAATGCTACGTGTACACGTGTAACTTGCGTATGCATGCATAATAGTGTGTTCTCAGTGTATTGTCGGTGTGTGCCTGCCTGCCTGCATGAGTCTAGACGTGTACGTTTTGCCTCCGTATATTTCTGCGTTTTTAACGTCTGTGTGTACGTTCACTGTACGTCCACGTTTGCGCATGCGTCTTGGTCGTATGTATGGCGTGCCACACCTGTTATATACGTTTTCTACATTTGTATGTGCGCACGTGTACCTATCTGTGATTACATAAACACACACATATGTGTACTTTTTGTGTTGACACACACCTCTTGCGTCTGTACATCTGCGTCACATATGCACACGCACATATACTATTTCACACTCGTATTTGCCCGTGCATACGTGTTTTTTATATGAATATTTTGTGTTTACGTGTAGATGTGTGCAATGTGCGTCCTTAACGTTCACGTGCACTTATGTTTTTATGTTTCTATGTGCGCAGTGTTTTATGCATAATTGTATGTATGCGCACGCGTACGTCCTTGTATTTACGTCTATACATGTTTACGTGTGTTTTTTCCTTTGTCGTATGCATATTGCCCTTATTTAACGTGTGTGCACATTTACCTTCTGCATCATATGTACGTGCCTGTGCCTTTTAGTTCACGCACACGTTCGCGTTTTGCATTTGTCTGCACATGTCAGAAATGAATATGAAAAATATTCGTGTATTGAATTATCTAAAACACGAACACGTATATAACAACCCCATAAACGAAAACTTGCAACTTTGTATAGATTTTATAGTTTTCGAAAAGTTATATTTCCAATTTGCTATAAAACTAAATAATTGTCATTAAATTGGATATGGAATAGTTCTTATTCGTACATTCCCTCGACAGTGATATGAAGCGTATTAATTTTAATGCCTTTAAAGTCTCTTGAGATTTCATCGCAAAAATAGATTTTGAAGCAAACAATTCAAGATTGCAGTTTGAACTAGTTGCTCTTCTATATAAGTTATCTTCTCTTGAATACATATTTTTTATTCATTTGATAAATTAATTTCACGTCGAAGACAATCGAATCCTTC